GGGAGAGGGGCGGGATTGCGGGGGGGCGGGGCGTTGTGTGTCCAGCCAGGGTGAAGACCCCCCCCCAAAGCCTTGGGGTGTCGTCTCAGGGCGGGAGGGTGATGCTGCGTTTTCTCCGGAGTTTTCTTCTTCCACACGAGTCCTTTCGTTCTGCCTCCTTTTGGACGCACTGGGGCGCGATCCGAGGACGCGCTCGGGGGTTCCCGGCCTACTTTGGGTTAGTGTGAAGTTTCCAACCTCTTTCCAGCCCGAGAAGTGAACTTTCCCGGAACAGCACTTCCTCCTCCAGGCTAGGGAGGAAAAATCCCACGCCGCACTTACCTCCCCCTTCCAGTTAAAAGCAATTTTTTGGGGGGTGGGGTGGAGGGGTGTTTGCAACCTGATGCCTGCTCGCTGGCCCCGAAAGTGCTTCGGGAAGGAGCTTCGCCTGGGGTGAGGAGGAGAAGAGAAGGCCGCCGGCGAGCTCCCGGGTCTCGCCTTCCCTCTGACCCACAGGCTGGACTGCCTCCGCGTCCTCCTCGAGCGCAGCTGCCGCCGTGGCCGCTGCTGCGTCCCGGTCGCCCGGGGTTGCCAGCGCCGGGTGAGGGCGCCTGTCCCCGAGCCGCTCGGCGGCTTTCTGCAACCCTAGCTGCCTCGCCCCCAGTATGTGACGTGGGTGACAATGGCCCAGGTTAGAGCGAGCCCCTCGTCGGCGCGTCCTGGGTGGTCGGACCCGGGCAAACACAAATACAAACCGATTGCTAAGCTGCGGACAATGGGCGAAATGTAGACAAATGTCCCGCTCCCGTTGGAAGCCTTTGTCCCGGCTCGGTTTTTGCATTTATTTCAGTGGCGAAATAATACATGATTGACGCTCTCTTTCAATGTGTCCTAACTGTTTGGAATAAATCTAAGGTTGTTGCTAGTTGTCATGGCATTCAACCCTTTTCAATGGACTATCTCTTCATTCATTTCTGAATCCTCCACAATATTAAGGAAACCCCTTCATGTCGACGCTCCCCATTCCTCTCTTTCTCTTCCTACTTTTTCTTTTCTCCTTTCTCCTCTTTTCCCCTGTAAGAATTAGAAACTGGTTTGAATCCTGTCCCTAGAACCCATTACTTGTTGTGATTTTTTTCCTCCCTCGTTCCAGTCTCCGTCTTTCTCAGCCTCCCTCCCAGACCTCTCCCTCCCCCTCTTTCACGTGGGAGCTCCTGGCCTCGCCCGGTCGGCCAGAGAAGGAAAGTGGGTTCTGCGGGAGTTGGGAAGCGCTGAGTTCCGCAGGGTGGGGTGGGGGCGGTGGGCCTTCGCTAGCCACTGTTCCGCAGCTACTAAATAAATAACTGGCCAGAAAAAGTTCCTCAACTGAAGCTTTGCAGAAAAGACCCTACTTTTGTTTCTCTAGTCCTAAAAGGTGGGGGCTCTTTTTGGGACCAGGACAGTCTTAGGATGGGGACTGGGGCCAGAATGGAGCCTGGGTGGGTTTCAGAAAAGGGGTCTTTTGGCAACAAGTGTCCCTTTTCGCATAGTCCCAGTGCCTTTGGATGGGAGTGGGGGGAGGGCGCCAGTGTCCCTTCCAGAGTTTGCTCATTTCCAAAGCCTGGAACCCCCGAGTTCCACGTAATTCCCAACTTGTTCCTCCCTTTCCCCAGCACCCGGGCCTTCCCGCTCAGGATCTGATCTGCGCAGCTGCCAAGCACGTCCATTCCCCTGGCTCGCGGAGCCTGAAAGTGCTCAGAGCACCTGAGTGAACCGGCTCCTGGGAATTGATCTTGGGGAGGGAGTGCTGCTGCAGGCGCCTGGAGAAGGACGTCCCCAGCCCGGTTCACAGCCACAGAGTGGGCCTAACCATCTGACCTTGTTCTCAACCTGCCAAGAACCTTGAAAGCTCGTCTGCAGGCGAGGGGCGCCTCCTGGAGCTCCGGCAGGCTCACACCGCTTTGCCTGCGCAGGCGGCCGGCTGGACCTCGGTCTGTCACCCCGACTGTGCTTCGGTTTTTCCTTCCCTAGCCTTGGGGCAGCCGCGCAGGGACTGAGGGAGCCGGAGAGAGAGCTTCGGCCTTGCCTCCCGCCGCCGCGCGCTGTGCGGTCGGATCCACCGCGCTCCTGGTCTCCCGGGACCTGGAGAGTCCATTTTCCCCATCGCTTAGTCGCCCGTGTGGTTCCCGCGTCCGCTTCCAAAGCGTTAACATTTGCAATTGAAAAGGAGCAGGGAGACCGCTGGGAGGCCCGTAATTGAAGGGGAGAAACTGGGCTTGTTAGATGAAGATCATAAAATGCAAGTCCCCTAGGAGCGGACAGCGGTCCGCACTGAGGCCAGCGCAGGCCCAGCTGGCAGCCGGGGGCAAGTCCGTGCCCTGAGCACACTCCAGGGTCGCCTCGGTTTCGTGGGCCTAACTTGTAGCCTGAAGAGTCCAGGGGCCCAACACCAACTGCACCTCTAATGTCCAAATTAAACAGGTGATTTCGCCCTAAGGACTCCCCCAAGAGGCTTCCTGAGAACGCCACAGCCCAGCCTTGTGGGGTCTAGACCCTTCCATTCCTCCAGAGCGGAGATCCTGCAGGCACACACCCAGCAGGCTGGGAGGACCCAGCTCTTCCCTCCCCAGAGTCCTTCATTAACGCCCCCCACCAAGTAGCTTTTGTCTGCCGCAATTCTGGCTCTGCTCAGATGTATCCTCAAAATCTTTAGTAAATTCTTTCTCAGTCTCATTGTCCAGTCAGGAGAGGACCATGTTGGGTCCACCGAGGTTGGGTTTGGGCTGTGGGCTCTGCTGCCAAGCTCAGGGGGAGGTCTTGGGCCCTCTGCACACCCCCCTGCACTGGAGCTTCTGCAAACCTGGGAGGGAAGTTGAGGCAGGCACTGCAAGTTCTGAACATACTGTGCCCTGGGCCAGAGAGGGACCTTCTTGGCTTTTTCCTTAGTGTCTCATACACTCTGCTGAACTGAGGTCACCCAACAGGTGGACTCCCCTTCCTCCTACTGGTCTTTACTCTTGGCCTTGAGGCTCCAGGCTCTGCACAAGTCTCTAACTCAGTTCATTCTTCCTACACCGAGGATGGGAGCCACAGGGCCCTGGGAGGTAGGTAACCAGAGGAAGAGAACCTCTCTCTCTGGATGCTGAGCAGAACCTCCTCTGGGAGGCTTCTGGGGAGCTTGGCTAGCTTCTGCTCTCTGGGCTCTGGGACACACTGCCGTTCTGGCACAGGCGCTGGTGTAGGCAGTGGGAGAGCTGAACACTCGTTGGAGGCCCAGGAGGGGAGGGGAATGTACACAGCCTAAGTGGCCCCACTCCAGGACAAGTGGCCCTTTAAGTCAGCCCAGTGTTTACCTGTTTACTTTCCCAGGTAGCTCAAACACGAGTGCCTTTTCTGAGCTGCCTCCGGGTGAGCCTGGACCGGGCCTGCCTGACTGCTCTGTGTTCCCTGGGCCTCGGCTTCTCACCCCCTGTTGTGGGGGGCCAGCACTAGACACAGCAAACCAGGCAAGAAAGGAAAATACCTCAGGAAAGAGAGAATGAGGCCTCGTCCTGCCCAACTGCATGGGGACATCCATAGTGTCTGTGGGTGCAGAGAGTGGCCTGGGGGGCATCCATGCGTCCTGTCATCTCTGATCTGGCTTCAAGTCTCTTGGAGTCATTCTGCT